TGAGAAGGATGGCGGCGGGGGAGGAGGGGTGGGGGTAGAATTGTGCTGTACTTTGTACTTTGCACTGAACTATATGCATGTCCACATTATTTTTGGAGTTGTGATGTAACTTTAAAATTCTTAATTCAACAAGTTTTGAAGTTTTAAAGCGGACACGTTCAATTTGGAGTTTGGCTTTATACAATGGAGTGTCTCTTCATAGCTCCTATTTTGAGCATTCTAGTCTATCAAATGGCCTCAAGTGAATTTAGCGGTATATTTCACACTGTCTAACACAACAGTTTCCATGTAGTCAGACGCAAGACCGGGACAAACTGTTCGGTGATGCAGGTACAACACGTATAGATTCGTCCATACAGCCTGATGTTCGTGCACAATTGGATCGTAGGCTTATCTGACTAAGGGCTTGTTCATAATATGAGCATGGTGTGCCGGGAAGGTCACCTTGAATGGGACGAATTATTTGATATGTGTGTTCATATAACTGTTTTCAATCCCACATAATAAATATTCCGCGTCGGTGGGACGAAATTACGTTAACACTGGCGTCTTGCAAACATTTTTGTTCACTCAATTAAACAAACGGTACTTTGTATTAGACTTTAAATAGTGCCTGTTTAGGGTTATTAATTTACTATATATTTTTTGCTTGTATTTCCGATTAAGTCGTTCAATAGTATATAATCGGTCAAAATCGGCAAAAATGATCCTGGTCAGGTGGAATTAAGTGTTCATATAGTGAAAACATTATTCCGTTTGACTGAGATCCACCCATCATTCACCTGGCGCAAGGTGATATTTCACCTGGCTCGTTTCTCATAGCAACACATGTTGAATTTTATATGCGTCAATGAAGGCATGCGGATCTCACACAGGCGAGGTCCCCGGTTAAACATGATGAAATCAGCAAAAGTGTTTCAGTGCAAAGAACGTTGTCTCGAATTCATCCGGTTCGAAAGGCCAATCATCCAAATTTGATGTGGTTTATATATGCCCCCCTCCCTTCCTTCAACCTATCACGCCTCCTATATGGGGATGACTTACCTAATCATATAAAAATTAAATATTTACCGTAGTGATAAAATCAGTCATTATAAATATAACTCATGACAATGGACCTTTCCCCTTATAACTAAAATTTCGATCTAGACAAAAATTTCATCACAGCTTGAAAGAGCATCACAAAATTAGTAATATTCCAAAGTTTTGTTGCAAAATCTTGTAAAATGCGAATAATATAGCCTTGCGAAGTTTGACGTTTTCAGTCATTTTTCATTACAAACGGGAAATTGCAGCCCCAACACCCGAATCGGATGTCAATTTCCCGTTTGTAATACAAAATGACTGAAAAACGTCAAACTTCGCAAGGCTATATTATTCGCATTTTACAAGATTTTGCAACAAAACTTTGGAATATTACTAATTTTGTGATGCTCTTTCAAGCTGTGATGAAATTTTTGTCTACATCGAAATTTTAGTTACAAGGGGAAAGGTCCATTACTTCTACTTTTACTCGAGTATAAATTCAAAGTAATTTAGGCACCACTCCTTAGTTAGATGCAGTTTTATTAGCATAGCATGACCAGTTACCATGGCTAGTTTCGTCACTGCCTAGGACCCTCCTAGCCATTCAGGTATATCCAATACGCCATGACCTCGTTTCTCAGGATCGCCTTGTTTGTAAAGACCGCTCATAAATATTTTGCGCTTCGTAGGTGCATTGGCAGATAAATGAGTTTTGCTGGCAGATACGTCGGTTAAATATACATTGTACATGTGAACTACTGTATTCCCATAATTAATTGTAGCATACAATATAGAGATATGCAGTGCATGGCATTATGCATTGTATGGGGATAATTTTATATGTGAAGTCCATAAATTTTGGTGTCAATAACAGGTACTTGTATATAAATAGCAATCTGGCTTCTGTATACAATGATAAAACTTCGAAATCATACCTCAAATAAAATACACAATATGTCCAATACTTTTTATTAATCAAATATGCATAATTCCCATAAGTAAATAGATTACTTCATGTTGGCCTCTCTGTATACGGTTTTATTTCGTATGATCGTATCCATTCACCAAAAATGACATGGAAACTGATTATAAAGTATTCGGAAATGAAATAATTTCAATTTTTCTGCTGTTTTATAATAGTGTTTCTAATGCACTCCACTGGAAAGTGATGAAACCTCACATGCACGTACGTATGATTTCTAACGAGGGCTGTATCACTCGAAGAAAGTGCTCGAGATTTTATGGATTTCGAAAATCCTTTGGGATTTTTCGAGATTTTTTGGAATTTTTAGGGCTTTGATACAGGGGCCGGTTGTTCAAAGCTGGATTAGCGCTAACCCTGAAGTATCTCCGTAACGTTTCTATATATATAGAAAATATTTCCATATTTATAACGTTTATTATTAGCATGACAAAATTACTGGATGCTGATTGGTTGAGAGGAGTACAGTTATTTCATTAATTGTACTGCAGTACAATTAATGATTTTCCCAAAACAAACAAAATGGCGGAAAGATATTTTAAACACAAGCGTGAAATGAAATTGCCGTGAAGGAACTAGATGAAAATACGAACAAAAGCACCAAATTTTGCTTGAACAAAAGAACTAAATGAAAATACAAACTAAAGCACCAAATTTTGGGTGAAAGTGTGACAGAACTGGGCTTTGACGAGAGAATATGATGTTGACATTGAGAAGTACGTATCCAATTTTGTCATGCTAATAATAAACAAGTAATCATGCGATGTTGCTCGTACAATTAGAGATTAATAGTACTCACGATGTTTGGAAATTTGCCAAATTGGACTCGCCCCGGCGGCTCGTCCAATTTTGGCAAAATTTCCAAACATCACTCGTACTATTAATCCCTAATTGTACTCGCCATCGCATGATTACCTATACTAACCCAGGATTAAGCTAACCGACTTTCGAACAATGGGCCCCAGATTTTAATTTTTAGGGATTTATACAGATTTTTTAAGGAGATTTTTTAAAGTGATACACCCCTCGATTTATAACTTGTAGTTGCCATTTTTAAAATCACTTTTTTGCCGCCTTATTGTAGCTAAATTATCACACCCGCTGTGCATAAAACCTTCAAAATTGTTAAGAGGCATTAGCGATGAAAAGCGTTCAAAATCAAAAACTGTTTGGCGTGCTTCTCAAAATGAATGTATTGAAGTAATAGTATTATTTTCTATTATAGTTTCTACAGTTATAGCTACCTTTTTAAGTGCGTCTGACGGATGAGTAAAAAATTGTCAATTAAAATTCTCCGGTTTCTTATGACGTCACATCTACTCAAGTGGGCGTCAACTGTCAAGGGTCTGTGTCAGGGGTAAATGACGGCTTTTATATTGTTTTATATTGGCTTTTATAATAGCCGCATAACTCATTTACATACGATGCATAGACATCCATTTTGTTTCTTTGTTGTTTTATTTGACCTCAGTTCAATGATTGACCCCCACTTGAGTCAAATTATCCTAAAACATCACGTGATTGAAACCCAAGAATACAATTATGAATAATGCTTTAAATTTGACGCCATATTTACAGCAATATGAGCAAAACTTATTGAATTTTATGCAGGCATAATTATCTCTTATACTATCTAAACTCTCATTTTTTTAATTTTATTATATTGTTACGGAACACTCTCACTTATATATAAAGTTTTAGGTTAAAAATAAAATAACAGAAGATATTTGCTTGAACGCAGGTGAAAGGTTCGTGCAAGCAAATATTATCCTAAGCATAATGAGAGGAGATAATAGATATTTTGCCACAAATCAAAGTAAAATAAATATATTTCGGTTCTTCGGAAAACATTCATTATTCCTTCCATTAGGCTATGACAGTTTGTTCGACTAGCAGCCGTTATATATGCGAAGATGTGATGTTGTGATTGACCTGTTTCCTATAGTTTATCTTGTGAGCAGATTTGTTTATTAAAAAGAGCAGCTGTCTGAGGTCTCATGAACATTGACCTTTCACGTGGACAGACTCTAGGCTTAAAAATTGGTCATCCCAAGCTAGATAACACTCGGTCATTCAATTATAATATTACGTCATCAAAAGCTTACTTCGGTAAGTTCCCTTTAAAAAATAAGTAAATTCATAAAATAAGGGTTATATGCTTATAGTTCGAACATTTTCCTATAAGATAAGTCTAAGTTAGTTAAGTTATGAAGATTCTTAAACTTGATCAACCGAGCATATAACCGACTTGAGAAGTACGGCGACGCCGTGAATAAACAAAGATAGAGAGCTGGTACGAGAGTTCGAAAGTACACCACCTCGGTGCTGAAAATTGAATGCTGACCGCGCTTCTGGCGAGGTGTAAGAGACCGTCGTTTCAGGTCGTATATAGGCGTCTTTGGTAGTTGGAGGCCGATCCTCCACCAGTTGTTATGTATCGTCTTTAATTAATACGTGAGGAACGGAATCGTTAAGCTTATTTATTACGGTTCTAATTCGTTCTGAGTTTCGTTCTGTTTTCTTATTCTGAGTTTCTGCTTGACTTTGGGTCCACTGCTAGTTCTGCATTCCCTGCTAGTTCTTCATTCTCTGCTAGTTCTACATTCTCTGCTAGTTCTGCACTCTCTGCTAGTTCTGCATTCACTGCTAGTTCTGCATTCTCTGCTAGTTCTGCATTCACTGCTAGTTCTGCATTCACTGCTAGTTCTGCACTCTCTGCTAGTTCTGCATTCTCTGCTAGTTCTGCATTCTCTGCTAGTTTTGCATTCCTTGCTAGTTTTGCATTCCCTGCTAGTTTTGCCTTTCCTGCTAGTTTTGCCTTTCCTGCTAGTTTTGCATTCCCTGCTAGTTTTGCATTTCCTGCTAGTTTTGCATTCCCTGCTAGTTTTGCATTTCCTGCTAGTTTTGCATTCCCTGCTAGTTTTGCATTTCCTGCTAGTTTTGCATTCCCTGCTAGTTTTGCATTTCCTGCTAGTTCTGGAATCTTTTTGCTGGCCACTTCCTTTTATACTATACTAGCGGTCGAGGGGAACTTTGTGCATGTGACTACAAATGTGGGGTGATTCAAGTCCAACCAATCAGCACCGAGGTGGTGTACTTTCGAACTTTCGTACCAGCTCTCTATCTTTGTTTATTCAGGGCGTCGCCGTACTTTTCAAGTCGGTTATATGCTCGGTTGATCAAGTTTAAGAATCTTCATAACTTAACTAACTTAGACTTATCTTATTGGAAAATGTTCAAACTATAAGCATATAAACCTTATTTATGAATTTACTTATTTTTTAAAGGGAAATTACCGAAGTAAGCTTTTGATGACGTAATATTATAATTGAATGACCGAGTGTTATCTAGCTTTGGATGACTCATTCTTAAGCCCAGAGTCTGTCCACGTGAAAGGTCAATGTTCATGAGACCTCAGGCAGCTGCTCTTTTTAAAAAACAAATCTGCCCACAAGATAAACTGTAGGAAACAGGTCAATCTAGTCGAACAAACTGTCATAGCCCAATGGAAGGAATAATGAATGTTTTCCGAAGAACCGAAACATTTTTACTTTAGTTTGATTTGTGGCAAAATATTCATTTATATCTGCTCTCATTATGCTTAGGATAATATTTGCTTGCACGAACTTTCACCTGCGTTCAAGCAAACATCTTCTGTTATTTTATTTTTAACTTAAAATTTTATATATAAGTGAGAGTGTTCCGTAACAATATTACAGATACGGCACTAAACATCCTTTTTAAGTTTGTTTGCTGATTGAGAAACAATCAAATATGAAAAATGAAAAATTTTGATACGATCCATTTTACGCAACATACTGTAAAAAAAACTACTCCTGTAAACCTTTGAAATGGTCAAGCACTAAAACATGTTGTAACTCTATAGGCAATTATTGTCGAAGTCGTATTTCCTATAATGTGTTACACGGACGAAGATCAAGAATTATGGGAAGATGATCCATACGAGTTTATTCGATTCAAGTACGGTAAGGCGAAACATGCATTCTAAAGAGTAATTAAATTCTCGGCAGTATTAGGGCAAGCCTCTGTAGACTGTAAGTTACATGGTTTCAAACACAAAATTGTAGTATACTTTGAAATTATGCATTGATTTCAAAGTACAAGCTCTTTAGAAAAAAGTCAAGGTGTCCTGTATTATGATATTTTGTGTTGGTGTAATGTACTCAGGTGAATATGATGCTTGTGATGTTACTCTGAGTGTATATCCACACCGGGCAAGCTTGAAAAATATACCTGGCCACGGTGGGAATCGAACCTACGACCTTTGCAATACTAGCCCAATGCTCTGCCAACTGTCCTGTATTAGTTTAAATCAAATCAATCAAATCAAATTTTTATTAGCCAAATTCAGATACAATCAATCAATACATTATTTACATATTTGCAAGTTGAGTTTTAATATATATTTAAAGTTTCAAAAGAAGAAAAAAAATTAAATGACAAGTTTCAAAACACTAATTAAATATTGATTTCTTTTGTTTTTGTTATTGCTTTCATGAAGTATTAATGACTTGAGAATTGTATGTATTCTATAGAAAATAACGCTCTATATAACTTGCCAAATATAATTTTTATACGTGTGCAGGCATGCAGTGGTGAACGAACCTAGGCAAATCATTAGCCAATTTGGGTGCTAGCGCAGTCTCCGGGATAAATAGCATCAGTTGTCAGAAGTGCGCAAATAGATGATGGCCGTCTGTCTAGGGGGGGCTTTGATCCTAACCCTAACCGTTACCTCTGACCCTGATTTGATCTTAGTCTAACCCTACTCCCGTTACAACGGACACCTTGGACGTACTGTGTCGACGAAAATGACAAACAGAAAATATAAATGTCATTCAAGAATGCCGTGAGCGAAAGACCACACCAAAGCACATTAGGGAGGTACTTCATCACAGAATGAAACTGTCTAAAACGTGCAGATATGTCTGACTTCGTGTAGTTTTGTTACTGTTATAACACTTGGTTTTGGAATAAAAAATTTTTTGAATACAGATGTGTGACTTCTACTTTTACTTGTACTGTGTGGTATCACAGTAAACGTAAACTAGAAATTGAAGAAACTGGACATTTTAAAAGAAAAAAAGCAGTAATACATTGAAGTGACATTTTACAACCTGAAATCGGTTTATTTTTATCGCACCTCGCTATTGCGGACACTAAATATATATGATGGTCCCCATGCAGGGTCTCCGTTATAACGCAAATTGACTATATACACTGTTGTTTCGTTTTAGACGTATATGAGGATTTTGTATCGCCAGTTACTGCTGCCCAATGCTTATTACGGAGCGCTACAGAAAAGCGGAAGCAAGTATTGGATCCTGTCATGAACTTCTGTGTACAAATCCTGAACACACCAGCAGAAACAAGAGATCCGAGACAGAAAGATGGTATTCTACACATGATTGGTACTTTGTCGGACATTTTACTAAAGGTAGCTTATTTCTAGACGATATCCTTTGATTCTATCAGATTCTAAATAGATTTGTGTAAAATCTCAGACTGCACGAGCGTATCTTAAATGGAATGGATAATAGGATACTGACGGACCTGAGCTAAGTGTTGCTGTTCTACTTGCACGATTATATGTGTGCGGCACTTGCCTGATGCACAGTTGTCAGGGAGACAAAAGGATTTGACCCTTGCCAACGGGCAAATGATATGCACATAGTAATACCCAGATTGGACGGGATTCTATTGTTCCGAACGGGAATTTAATGTCTAAATTCCCGGTCGAACGGGCGATTTATAAATTTCCCGTTGGCAGAACGCACGTTTATCATGTGATATAACATTAAGTATCTGATCGTATCATTGTGTTTCAGAAAAAGAAGTACAAAGACCATATGGAGTCCATGCTTGTTCACCACGTTTTTGCAGAGACAACTAGTCCGTTGGGATATATGCGTGCTAGGGTAAGTACCGTTGCAGACATAAACTCTCTAAAGTTGTTTTATGTGTAGCGATACGTGCAACAGTTGCAGCAGCTTCTAATGTTGTTGGCGTCATGGGCGGATTTCTGAGAGGTATTCAGTAACGTGAAACTATGAGTTAGAACAAGGAGCATTCATGCCAACGCATGATTGTCAGTGTTAACTAAAGGCTTGTTTACACGGTGGATTTGTTAGAAATGTGCTCATGCTAATAATAAACAAGTATTGAACTCATGCATGATGTTTGGAAATGTTGTCAAATTGAACTTGCCCCGGCGGCGATCTCCAAACATCATTCGTATACTATTAATCCCTATAATTGTACTCGCATAATTACCTACTTGCTCATCGCATGATTACCTACTTACTAACACCAAATGTCGTACGTATATAAGTCCATGCATCAAAATTAAGTGATTACATAATTGCATGTACAGTATAAATTATGAGACCCGATCCTTGTAAGATATCGAGACTTTGTAGATATTCTAAACTGTGGCCATTATTATTATTATTATATTTGGAAGTTTACGGTAGCCCTGTTGTAGAAACAAATTATTTAATGCCATGTTTAACGAAATGGTTTCTATTTCTGTTGTATATTCCATTTACTTCAATTTTTACTACTGCATATACCATTCACTATAATCTTATATTATACCTCAAATTCAAATTGTCCAATCAAAAAACAGCATTTGTACCACGTGACAAATTGATATTTTACGGTATTTCACTCAAATTCATGATTTTGCAATGCAGCGTGAGATACTATAATATCCCACGGTAGATCCAAGACCACCGTGGGATATTATAGTATCTCACGCTCTGAAACAATATGGCGTTTGCAAGCTGTTGTTTGTAATTTCGTACAGAAGATTTATTGATTTACCTTCAATGACCCAAAGGATAAATACTCAAATATTTTAAAGAAAAAAACGTCAAAAACTCAGGTATACATGAGAAATTGAAATCGTATTGAGCTCTAGTTTTAAAGTTTATTCTGAAATTTGTGGGTTCTTTAACTTATATATAACGGTATAATATATCATTTACAGGCCTTAAAATATATTGTACAGGGCCGTCCGATGACTTTGAGTTTGGGTCGGACATATGTGTGATGATGTCCGATGACCATCCTTCAGTTTAACTCGGAAATAAGTCTGAATGACACAAATATCAGCCTAATGTATTAATTATGAAAGGTAAATGTTGTGAAGATATTAAATAATTTGTGTCATTCATACTTATTTCCAAGCCAAAATTAACTTGCATGCAAACACCAACAGTAAGATGTCGACACTTAAGTTCATTTTCCACTTCACCATTTCGCTCGCCGCCGGCAACATTTTGATTTACGTTGGACAAAGTAACAGTTCGGCCAATACACTCAGGTCGGGCAAACAATAAACCTCAGTTTCATTTAGGTCGGACAGAATGCCCGGTGGTTTCCTCCGTACGTCGGACAATTTCACGAATGGGTCGGACAATGTCCGTGACCGACCGATATTTTAAGGCCTGCATTTATGGACCCTCCGCTCGTAGGGTTCGTCGAAATATTACCCCGAATGATGATATTTCCAAATATCATCACTTTGGGTAATATACTCTTATTTAGTTTAATATTGTAGTTTTTATCGATTAGAAGGGCCACAAGTTTATCACCTTTATATGCCATTTGATTAAATCAAACAATGTAACTTTTGGGGGACACCCGGTATGCATTACTTCTTGAATGTTGACTTTCTCTTATCTAGGCGTGTTGGGTATTAAACTATTTTAGTAGAATCCAATTCAAAAACGAAGCCAATCTTCAACGTGCAGTAGAGGAGGTGAGAGTCTGTCTGCTGCATGATAAGGAACTACCCGTCAAGGTTGAAGCAGCTCTGGCCTTGCAGTTTTTTATCAAGAGGCAGGATAAAGGTGAGTTTACTCTGTACACGCGTAAGAACGAACAAGTTGTTCCAAATCTGCAAACAAGTTGTAACAAGGTTGTTGTGAAGCCTGCAACAAGACGTCGTAACAAGTTGCTACGAGATTGTTGTTATCAACTTGTTGAGAACTTGTTACGTGCACACGATGTCAGACTTGTTGGAACAACGTGTTGCATGGAACAACTTGTTGCGAGCCTGTGACCTCATCAACCTTGTTACAGCAACAACAACAACAACAACAACAACAACAACAACAACAACAACAACAACAACAACAATAAAATAGTCTAGGTAAAGTTAGTAATTATTATTAGGTAAGCGTAGTACTTGATATAAAGCGCATTTGATCATATTGTAAACTTGCGCTGGAAATGCAACAACAACAACAGCAACAACTACAGCAAACAACAACAGCAAACAACAACAACAACGACAGCAACAACAACAGCAGCAAACAACAACAACAACAACGACACCAACAACAACGGCATCAACAACGGAAGCAACAGCAACCGCAACAACAACAACAACAACAACAACAACAACGGCGGCGGCAACAACAACGGCGGCAACAACAACAACGGCGGCAACAACAACGGCGGCAACAACAACAACGGCGGCAACAACAACAAC